TTTTTTTTTTTTTTTTTACAGACTGTTGCTTTGGGGGAATTTTTGGGAAAAAACAAATTTTTTTTCCTTTTTAATTTTTTTTTTTTTTTTTTTTTTTTTTTTTTTGCAATATTAACTCGATTTGTGTATTTTCATATCACTGTGATTGATTAGGCCTGAGCTACAGGCCTATTCCTGGAATTACGCTAGATGTCAATATCACCTCACGTGGTTAATGGTGTGGATTAACAATGAAGGATGGATGTTTTCCAAGAGAAAATTAGGGCTTCTATTAAATGCACTGAATACGTACGATCGTCTCTAAACCAGAGTCCTTCATCTTTGCCACTACACTCCTTTGTCCAGGGTCCCTCCTTCCTTGGAACTGGAAACCATATTTAAATGCTACATGGCCTATACAACTTTTGTTTCTGGATCTGCACTGAAGTGGGAGGATCTGAAGCGAGTTGCGGTAAGATCTACTTCTTTTTCTTCTTGTAGTTTCCCTAAGCTGTAACAATTAAGATGATAGGATGTATTGCTCTTTCAAAAGGTATTATTCCAGATCCTTTATTGGGAGAAAATATTATTTCCTGAACTTTAACAACTGATCATAAAGGAAGTAGTGTCAAGAAGAGCTCGCTGTTTACCTACATATGTATTTAAATTGTTTATTCCACTAAATTCCTTATTTATGTAGAAGAGTTTTATTTTATCAGTCTAAGAGATCTGAAAAAGTTATAGATAGCAAAAGTGTGTTCGATCCACCCAAATAAGATTCTTACCAGAAGGCAGATTTCTAAGGGTCTATCAGCTTTAACCACCTTCTCCTAAATATACTAATATGCCTTCTGATAGGAGAAACGTGAAGGAAAATAGCACAAATCACATTAAGCTTGGGACTAAAAATAATGAGCAACAGTTAACCCTCTAGACAGGTTTGGTTTAAGTTCAAAGCCAGGTTCCTGTCGTGTTCTATGTTTTACAGAAACAATAAGCCACAAGATTTCAGTTTGAATCAGAGATCTTCGGAGTTAACATAACAAAATGAAACAGAAAATGACAGGCCCAGAATAATTTTTCTTTTTCCTGCAGCTTGGTACTATAAGAGCCACTTCAGTAATAGTCTAGAACCTTAAGGTTCAGAACCCACAAATATTGAATGACTACTTAGTTTGGGCCAAGCAGATTCCCAGTTCCTCCATTCTTCGCTGTCCTGAAAGGCAAATAAATATACAGGTGGTTGCTCTAAAGGTCTTATCGCTCATCACTAGGCATGAAATGTTGGTGGTGGATGGTAGGAAAAATGTAACTGTGTGCTTTACCTATTTTAAAGAAACCTTACATCTATGTCAGAGACCCTGTGCCCTGGTCCATCTGTTGCAACCCCACAGCCCTCACGGCATTTGCAAGGCTGTGAGCCTCATATACAGACGCCCTTATCCCAGCTCCTTCCCAAGCTTGTTCTCTTCTTATGGGCAATGTTATGACAAACCATAAGAAAACCCAGCAGAGGAACACTAGAGCATTTCTCATTAAATAATGTGCCGCCTAATGTTTAATCTCAAAGAGCAGGTGGAAGATGCAGAAGCATGCCTGATCATAGCCAACCCTCTGTGCAGTGATTCCCATGCTGAAGACATCTCGAACATTATGAGGTAAGGATCAGGCATTGTGTCTCGTATGCTCTGATGCTGATTTTTTCCCTGCCTCATTTAAAATAAAGCCCAGTGCATAGGACTAAACAGGAGAAGATGTCATCTGTCTCAGCACTAGGTTCATCATATTCCAGGTTCCTGACACTTTTTTTGCCCCTCTTCACCCTGAGACTGTGCAGATAGACTCAAAAGGAAGTGAGAATAGATCATCTTGAGTGTATATATGCTTCTCCGTATTCTTTTACATGGATAATAGCTATTCACATTTAAAAAGTAAGCACACAAATAACTGATTACAGTGCAGACAGCACCATTATAACTAAGATCCGCTTCTCATCAAAAATAAAAATGCCGTTTGTGAGCCCTGTTAGTTCACTTTATTTAATGTTTTTTTTTTCTGTAGCAATTCTGGTGAGAGATTATGCATGGTTTGGCACAATGTGCTTGTAACCACTGGCAGGTATTTTCAGGATGACAAGAGTCTTTGCAATAACATGGACGAACCTGGAGAAGCCTAAGTTGAGTGAAACAAGCAAAGCACAGAGGGATAAATACCACATGTGCTCACTCATATGTGGGAGCTAAGAGAGAAAGGAAGGAAGGAAAGGAAGACCACAGTAGTGCAGTGATCTAACTGAGGGAGGGGACATTCCTAGGGCTACAAAGCAGAGTGGGGGGGGAGGGAGAGGGGGACGAAGGTTGGGGGATAATTGGGTGGGGACACGGGGTACAAAAGTAATTTCTGGTAATGGGTGTGCCCTAGTATGAATCTGGCCCTCACATCATGGGCACAAGGGGTGACAATTAGCTTTGTATCTCATGAATACTCTTAGTAATTTTTTTAAAAAATGACTAGAGTCAGTGTTACCATCTTTAGCTGTGAACTGTCTATGAGTAGGAACTTGATTTGTGGTAACAGAGATTCAAGTATGATTGTGATGGCAAAGACATTGTGCCTAACCCAGATGAACTTCTGGTCCCCAGAGCAAAATGAATACACATGGCTGAAAGTGAATGTACACATAGAGCAAGAAACACCTGGGAACTTGTCCCATGCATAATACAGTGGATATGAGATAGATCTTAGTTTCTTAGTCAATAAAATGAGAAAGTTGAATTAGAACAGTCTATGAGCTACTTCAAGCTATAGGCACCAATTAAATCTCTATATTTTCCTGTAATTATTGTGCTTGGGTTTACAGGCTAAAACTTACAAGTGTTTATTTCCTCCTCAAGAATTGGTCCCACAAGACCTCAGTCTTCTGATACTGAGAGCTGACCTTTCCACAGATCCAGGGAACTAAGTCACTAAAACAACAACACTCTTCTGTGAACACTATTAAACAGAACAGTTTAGAAAACAACGTAACGATGAATTCTATAACATACTGTTTTCCCATACATCAATTTAACTGTGAATTGAATTATATTACAAAGCCATTTGTATACGACGCATCACTGATGGGCGTATTTGTGGTTTATACAGGGTGCTCTCTATTAAGAACTATTACCCTAAGACCAGAATCATCATACAGATACTTCAGTCCCATAACAAGGTATCGTAACACTGTAGCATATTCAATTTCCTCCTCCTCTAGTCTATGCAGCTAGTTGAAACTTATTACTATCTAATGGGTCTACAAATAAAAAGCTTTTTGTCAATCATAGTTGAAATTTGGAGTGTTAATTGTTAGTCACTTAAAAGTGTGAATTAGGGGCAGAATTAGAGGTCTAAACCATTTGACAAAATTTTGCAACTGTAGCTATTTTTGTTTTAAAAAGTGGGGGCAATTGACCACTAAACCACTTTCAAATGCTGCGTTTGTTCTTATCACTTCTATTGATTTTCATGCCCAGGAGTGAAGAATGAATGATTTCAAGTAAATTAAATAAAAGAAAGGCATCTATCCAAAAAAGCTTTCTTTGAGTTATGTTTATTCTTCATGCTTGACCTACTTTCTACCACAAAACAGATTTATCTGCCAAAGATTCCCAGCTGGAACTGGAGTACTGGAGACAACATCATCTGCTTTGCTGAACTAAAGCTTGGATTTATCGCCCAAGGCTGTTTGGTGCCAGGCTTATGTACCTTTCTAACGTCTCTATTTGTTGAGCAAAACAAAAAGGTAACCTTGTAAATTGATGCTGAATCTTGGCTTTATACCCATGCCCCACATATTAAGTTCAGAAATAGGAAAAAAAAAATGAGGAAAGCAAGAAGGCCTCAAGAAACAAGATTTGACTTCTACTTGAGCTGACAAGGGATTGAGTGATCTAGATTGAAGTCCCAGGTACTCAATTGACCTTGAAGAATTATTTATCTTATTCTTGCCTATGAATATTTATCTGCAAAATAGAAATCATAATTCTGCTTTCTACCTACAGTCCAGGATGTTATGAATGCAAATATATTCATAAGTGTTGAAACACTTTGAGTTATTGAAATTAGAAACATAAATAAAGGTTATCATTTATTAGCAGAGAAGTTATATATTTGAATATGGATTTTTAAAATATAAAATTAGTATAATAATAATTATATTAGTCAAATAGAAATAATGATTAAAATCTAATTTTCCAGGTTATTCCACGCAGTAATAATAATAATTGTGGCCATATTTTGAGTGCCTAGTGGGTTGTGGTTCCCCTCAATAATATTTTAAGTTACTATTCCAGCAATGAGTTGGTGAAGCTAAGTAACTGGATCATGTAGTAGTAAGTTAGTGAGTAGCAGAGCTAGAATTGTCTGGTCCATGGTCTTCCCACTATGTCTATGACTCTGGTTTTGGGCATCTACTCACAATCCCCCATGTCAGGTATTTTGATACCTTTGTCTGAGATGAAATAAGGGGCTAAAAGGGACCATTAAGATGGACTTCTATAGCACGAAATATGGTCTTCCAGATACCGTTCCTTGCAGAGAGTGAGTGACCTTCCTCTCCATCTAGTTCTGAGTCCACATTCACCTTTTCATACACTCAGTATCTCTCCTGGCCTTTCTTTGCACTTTATTTCCTCTGTTCATTGCAACTTTTTATATCATTTCTTGTTTATTCCCTGGTGCCATTAAGGAAAGACAAAAGAGGTAAAGGATGTTCTGACCAGCAAAATGCTATCTGGAACAACAGAATTCTTCTATGATACCTTCTGTGAATGCAAGAAAATATAATATACAATAAAAACAAATGACCACCCAGCAGTAGGGTATGAGCCTTGATGCTGCTGTGATGCCTGTGCTTTTACCTTGTTGAGTGGTCGCTGTGTGTGGCCTGGGAAGCAGCTTATAGGGAAATTGTCTTTACCTGTCGTGTGCTTAGAAAGTGGCAGGGAACTTCGATATCTGTGATTATTATGGTGTTAATCTTCATAGGTGGAGAAAATGAAATGAGACTCCATATGAAGACTTTGTCTCCTTCATGGAAATATGGGAGGTAGAAATGTAAAACCAGTTCCATCATGGTTTTCTTATTTTTTAATCTTGAGTTAAAGCCTCCTCAGTGAGGATGATCACCTGACAATATTCATCACAAGATGGCTTTTGGAATACAGGCATTGAGAGATATTTGTGTTCTCCATAAATTCTTTTGGAGCAAAGCCCACTTTTAGAAATCCTAAACTGGGCAGTATCAGGGCAAGATTGTTTAATGCTATACTTGCCTCAGGCGCTTTAGATTCTATAACAAACTACTGACTTCAGTTTAATGACCAGGACTTCAGAGTTTCATGGTCTGTTTTTCTTGGATTAGGTACTTTCCCTGACTCTCAGTTTCTCTGCCTATAAAATGAAAGTTATTAATCTTATAACTTGATATTTCCAAGTATTGAGTTAATATTTGTAAAACTTCTGAGTACTCAGATTAAAGGGCATTGAATCGATGCTGTGTTTTAACTGTATTGATTATATTGTGAGAAATTGCAGCCTGAAGAGCATTTCCAGTTGGTTCTAGGTTCTGAGTGTTGCCTTAGGCTTAAAATTGCATCAGATTGAATCCAACGGGCTTACGTGAGCTCCCAGATTCTTCTGTCCTAAATCCATTTTGTACTCCTGTTTTTTTCCTGATCTTTTAAAAATGATCTCAGGAATTCTCCATCCATATGGTTATCATTTTTTATCCTCCTTCAACAATGAGAAAATTTGGATCAAAAGCACCAAGCCAATTTCTTTAACAAGTAGAACTTAAATACTGCATGAGTGGCCCAGTGAGGAGAGTCTGTTTAAGAGACTGGGAAGAGGCAAGAGACTCAGCTGAATCTTGGTGGTGGGAGCAGGGTGGGGTGGGGGAGCCAGGGGTGACCTGAAGTAGGTGGTCCTTTTAAGCAGGGCAGAATCATTCATATGTTTGTGCATTTGTTTTTGTTTTGTATTTCCCAAACCACAAGATGACCATCTGGGGAGAATTTCTGCACCTGCCATAACATTCCACAGCTACAGTGCTCCAGAACTTATAGAAGTTCCACACTTTCACCTGACATTCTGGGCTTCAAGGAGCCCACGCCACCATTTCAGATTGTGCTGGTGATTCTCAGGGCAGCAGGTGGGGGAGGATGGGGGTCTTACACGAACATACGTGTTACATTGTCACTTCCTCTGGTCACAATGGCTTGTCACACTCATTTGAACCCATGAAGAGTTCTGACACTGGGCAGAAGCTGTGAATGTTTTTTCTTTGAGGTATACGGTTAATCAGTAGAAAACTAAAATGTATCAAAACCAATCCTAAACAGTCATATCCAGAGAGAGACAACTTACATTCCACATTATCTCTCCTATCTTATTTTTACTTAATCAGAAAAATAACAGTCTACTTTGCTGGAATTAGGAGTAGGCAAGGGAGAAGATTTCTAATTTCCAGCAAGAAGACTCAGATGCCATCTGGGAAGAAGCTAAGTCATGGCGTGTCCACCTCATTCTGACCTCTCCTGTGAAAATAGTTGGAATGCTGTTAGAGTTTTAGTCTTCCTTTAATATTTCTCCAGTTATGCACTGAGATAAATCTCCTTTCCATGACTTACATGCAATGAAGACTGGTTTGCCACTTAGCAGAATATATAATTACATGAATTATACCATCCCATATTCCGTGTTGATGGACTTCATGCGGCATAATTGTGTATTCCAGATTTTCCCTAAACAGCCCTGGCAAAAGCATTTCTTGAATGGCCTGAAGAACAAAATTCTGACTCAGCGTCTCTCGAATGACTTTGCTGGAATGAGTTTTCCTGAAGTATCCAGGTAAGTTAAGTCAAACGCTTTTTCATTCATCACGCAGCAGAGTTCTTTCAACAATGTTCACAGAGAGTTCAGTGTAGACCAGGCTCCATTACAAATGCTGAAGACACAAGAATGAATAACTCACAGTCCTTGCCACCCACAAGTTGACAGTCTGGGAGGGACGATTTCTTCTCTGTTCCATTGGCACACAGGCTATCAGTCAAAGTAAAACTCCCACATCTGGGAGTTCCTGCCTCTGCTGAGATGCTCGTCCCCTTCTTCTCCACTAGCAGCCCCTTGTCCCACTCTTCCCCTGTCCTCACAACTCCTTGTCTTTCTCCCCAGGACCTGCTTCGTGAAGATGAACCTTATGCTGATAGCCATCGAGCACAAATCTCTTCTCTGTTCCATTGGCACACAGGCTATCAGTCAAAGTAAAACTCCCACATCTGGGAGTTCGTGCCTCTGCTGAGATGCTCGTCCCCTTCTTCTCCACTAGCAGCCCCTTGTCCCACTCTGCCCCTGTCCTCACAACTCCTTGTCTTTCTCCCCAGGACCTGCTTCGTGAAGATGAACCTTATGCTGATAGCCATCGAGCACAAATCCGTCTTTCAAGGAGGTTACTGGTACCAATGAGGCTTCTCGTTTCTTATTTTTTGTTGTTATTGCTGTTTGCTTTCTTTCTTAGGAGAATTCTTGATTAAGACTTGTCCAAACTTACAGCCGTAACTAAGCTGTTTGACATTTGTTGAGGGCCAGCCTCTCGGGCTCCCAGGCTCCCACTGTTGTGGTGCATTCAGTGCTAAGGGTTGGGATTAGAATGGGTTCTTAGTGGATAAATGCTTTGCCTTTGTTCCTGTGGCCCTGCCCCAGTTCTCTCTCGTGAGCAGAGGAGAAAAAAAAAGGGGTCGCCTTGT